AAAAGGCTAGACGTGCCAAAAACAAAATAGGCCAGACAAATCAACGCAAGAGAACAAAGGTACTAGACAAAGTAAGAAGTGATACTCGGGCTCACCAATTTTTGTAGGGATGCGTGTTACAATTCCGTAACGTTTGATCAACCCTACTTAATTTGATGTGCTCTAGTACCTGCTTAACCAGTACTTTACCTAACGTGTAAGTACTGGTAACAAAACACAAATCAAAAGAACTGATACGCAATGTATTTAAAGGAGCTATGTATTTAAGGTAAATGTAATAATAATGAATGAGGGAAAAGTTTAATCAACTTATCTGGCTTGTAAGGCTGAACTAGGGACTCGGAGTACGTGCGTGGTGATCAGCACAATGGAGCGCAAAAATGGCGTCCAAGCCTGCTCGGATGCATGCTCGTTAAAACAAAACTTAAAACACCCTAAGCATCCGGAGGCAAGCTAGAGATTTATTTAGTTAATTTAATTTAAACTATTTATTTTAGCCCTAGTTATATTTTGGTGCCAGGAAGGTGCACTACAAACTCAAAGTAGAGTCAGGAACCGTTGAAAGATGCCGGAGAGGCAGCTAATGTCTGCGAGTAGTAATCGACAGATCTGAAAAACGGGGCAAGAGAAGCCAACGAAAACTAGTGGGCAAAAGTAGTGTTTCAATTCTCCTAAATTTCCGGTCTAATGAAACCACAAGAACCGTCAACATAGATCAAGAATGATGTTGGCTTAAACTTTCCCTGCAACTGGTTTTATTTCTGGGTAAAAAGCAATGTGTACATCACCACAGTGGAAAGCTGACAGTTACCTTTACCATACGAGCTCCAATAACAGATCGGTTTGCATGCTTCTGCTATGACGGGAAGGTTGAAGGAACACAAACGAGGGTGTAACTTCTTTTTTTCAACACATTTTGATGATCCTCTGGCTAGGAGAAAATATCGGTTACTAGCGTAGCCGCTTCACATCTCAGTGAAAGAGGATGCCAAGCGCACGTCCTAAGTTCTTCAAGACACAAGGAGTGAGGAAACGCAAAGCTGACAAGGATTTCACCTTTTGCTCAGCTCGATGAGAGAAATGTGAATAGATAGGATATTGGGGATACACGGCCATCGATATGCGTAGGATGGTAATGATGACACCCAAAGTAATCTATTAATAGTAATTAGTTAACAGCCAACATACCTCCTCGATAATGTTGTATGGTTCAGTGTGAATTCTATGTGCAAAACTCCATCACCATTGGGTAATAGTCCTACAAATGTTTATTTCTTCGTACAGCAACAACTAATTCCGATGGATTACATCTGTACTACTAAGGTCACACTACGAGCGGGAAATGCCAGGATTTATGTATTCGCCTGGATTATATGGTTATGCTGACACTCGCTGTCGCCTGAAATCGATGACGTGAGTTTTCATTGGCCAACAACACCATAAACATGTAAAATGACGTTATAATAAACGTTTATCTGACGAAACGCGGAACCATACCCCCAGGTTAACCATCTAGGTCACATGTAATGCAAACGTCGAATATTGTACGATTTTGGCATCACTTTATTGTGAAAAAAATGGTGAGTGGAAACAACCGAAACTCGTGCGCAATCTGTATATACTGTGATGCGATACTTTTCTGTTCTTTTTATAACCTGCAGTTCCTTTTGATATCATGATAAACCCTGGTGCGATAGGTTCTGTAACATTCAGGACAGCTCAACCACTGGAGACTTTTTCACCATCATCAATTTGATTGCGTCTGTAAACCGGCTTTTGTCATGTTAAACTCTTAATTCGAGAATAAAACTTTTATTTATCTATTCTTTTGTCGACCCAGAAAGGTGTTTCCGCAGAATCTGTCCGTAAACCCATTTATTGGCAGTATGCTCCGTCTGATTATTCCTACTCTCGCAACTGCATATTCTGTACCTCATCAGGAATAACCTCTTTCTCCACTCCCGACCTAGTCCTACCTAGCCCTAGCATTTTTAGGTGTGTTTAGAGACTGGCGAAATCCAGTCAGCTGATATTACCTCTCTTCTTAGCTTCCTTAAGTACATGGCCTACAAATTAGCAGACGTTAAAAAGCAACCCTAGTCTAATATAATCTCACACAGATTCGAGTAGGCAGTACATTCTTGTCTCTTAACTTGTGTGCAATTCATGTACATCAGTTTATATGCAACAAATGTCATTATACCGCGTATCCGAATTTCTTGGGTCGAATTTTCACTGCTATAGCAGTACTTGCATGGACATTAAGGGTCCGCACAAGGCCACTGAAATCTATCCCACACGTTTTTTTACCAGCCACTAATCCATTACTCAACACGCTTAGATGTCACCGTAGGCTAAGAAGGCACCCCGGAATTCTCTTTCTCAAGGGGCTCGGGCCGTAATTATTTTCTGGTGAAAACCCCTTCTTGGAACACGTTTTCCTACTTTTTGCAACCCTTGCAGTGGGCTGCAACTTTTCACGCTCGGCACTGGGGACTTGTCAACTGAAGAGGTCCCACATGTGAGATATCCTACGGAGGTCTTTCATATAGCTTCCATCACATCCGGTGTTGTGATCCAAAGGTTACCACTGCCGGTATGACTTATTCGTTTGTAGTAAGTGCACACGTATAAGGTGTCATGCCCTCACGCGAATAGGATGCATATGACACAGTGTGGCCTCCTGCGAAGCTTCAAAGTATCTGATGGTAAAAGATTGTATTTTGACCACCTCTGTGTGGTCCAAGCTTTCACTACCTGCGGTTACGGTGACGACTATCTCCTTGTCTAAGAGTCCAACGTGGCCCATTAAAACTGTCGCTCTAAACATAAGTAAGAGAAGTAGGGAAATCGTTTCTCAAGCAAGCCAAGCACTGGCATTTTCATACTTTCCTTGTGCTGGTGAGGAGGACTTTGTCAAAAAGGTTTACTTTGAAACAGGTACATGTCTTGAAATTCCCTCTAGCGACTAAGATATATCGCTAAGAACTCTCACGCCATGGAAACGAAAGAAGCGGTTGTCAGACTTGTGGAAGCTAAATTATTTTTAGACGGTTGTCGCTTCATTCCTCACCAGTGGACAAGGGCTGTAACCAGGACCTCTGAAGGCGGACATGAAACTACGACTGATGATACCTGGAACCGAACGCGGGAAGGATTTGAAGGCAGATGCACTTCGGTAGGCATGACATTCAAGAAGAACAGGCTCCATGTTGCTTGAAAAACTTGAAAGGATGACAGTATAGACTCTTAACATTTTCATAAATGACTAAAGTGACGTTGTTGTACCCGAAGATTCGGAAATCCGAATTCATGATCGCATTCGGGTAGATCTCAGAAGTTGAAGTTACATTTAAAGAGATATCGCAACTTTTAGAACTATCCTCCTCTGTTTGTTCATACGCCTGTGACTACAAATCACCTATCACTTCAAGATACTTTCCTCCTAATTGCAACCCACATTTTCCCATATTTTTACATACCCTTAGGGAGTGCAGCTACAATAAGTCAGCTGGTCCCACGGCTACTCATTGTGCGAATCAATAAACAGAAAACCTCATACAAAGAAAAGCACTGTCATCAGTGCTATAGGCAGGGAAATAGAACGGAATTCCACCCGTTTCGGGGAATTTAATCGGGGGGAAAATATGCCAGAAGGCAAGATGCGTGCTTTCAGTTTCAGATACCATCACGACTCATGATGACTGTCAAGTCCCTCTAAGTTGATGTCGATATGGAAAGGTAAGCACTAGAAGTTTGACAGCTTGCTTCCGTAATTAATTTCAAACACCAGGTGGATGAAGTTAGACTGAGTTTTTCTTCTGAGTGGTGCAAATCTTTCTGCTTACTACGGGGTACTAGACACAAAAGAAATTCTATCGAGAGGAAATTAGAGCTCTTCATATAGTGGTAAATTCATCTTAATCTCATGAAGAATCCTACCAGCGGTCGCACCTGGAAGTCTTCATAACGGTAGCGCCCTCAACAATTAAGAGAAACTACAATCTATTTGAGAAAGTACAATGACCTGAAACAAGATGAGTTGTGAGACCATGGGGGAAATATAATGCGATAGACGAAACACTTAGGCCCATCATTTTTGGGCGATCACGGACAACTTAACACTACCTGCAGCGGAGCAGTCATAATGAGGAGGCCCATCGGGAAAGAACATCAGGGAACCACAACCGGGCTCAGATAAAACATTTTCTCCACAAGATCATGTGCTTTATGGGATGCCTAGCAGCGTTTTGTGGCCACAGCCTCCTCAGCAGACTCATTCAAAAGGCGGTTAGACCGCTATGTCATTCCGTATAGCTTGCTACAGACGTACTCGAGGCATTGATGACCTCAGCAGCCCAACACCACTTCCATTCATTTACCATCCATCATCTTGCTTGCCAATACGCTTACATTACCTACTAGCCCCCTGATAGCCAGACCCACAATATCTACTGTTACTCTTAGGATACTCCCCTTGTGCGCTTTCTCACTATCTTGCTGCACCCGTTCCGTCACCTATGCAGACAGGAGTCACGACAGACCCCTAATAGTCCCAGTAACCTGTAGCTCACCAGCAATATCAATCTAAAAGTTATGGCGATCAACTCACAGAGACATTCGTTTCACCTCAGCTAAAATAAGGAAGGTAGAAGAGATTTCCGTGCCTACTATGGGAGCGGACCGAACAGAATATCTTGTCCTATTAACACACGCCAGGCATTTCAGGTTTTACTGCCCCTAATTCTGAAGTTTATGAAAGGCTGAAATTGAAGGTCATATTCAACCGTGTTGCGCACTATTATAGACGCACTTGGCTTTTACACCATGTTTTGCTCGGGATGCATATGAATAGCCAAAAACAACATACTTCAGTTTCCAAGGTTGATGTGAATCTTGCAGCTGATTACATAGAACACAGGAGCAAATTTAGGTGAAACGAGTGCAGACGTACTGGGTATCGCCGCTAAAAGGCTTCTGGTAAAAACAGGCAGTTTAAGATGTCTTCGATTTCCGTTCTTTCTTTCTTGGACAAATGGACATCGTTCCTCTCACCCCCCAACGCACAAGCGGGCGTTTTGATATACTTCTCGGTTGTCATCTTTCCAACGGTTTCTTGGCCGGGTGTCAAGTATTCATTGATTTTCTGACTTTTTGTGATGTAGGACTTGTTCTAGGAATGTCAACCCTGCACAAAGACGACTTCTTCGTGATTTGAAACGGCTTCAATCAGATCCACCTCCAGGTATTTGTGGTTCTCCTGTTGACGACAATGTTATGGTTTGGAATGCCATTATATTTGGACCAGACAAAACTGCTTTTGAGGATGGGACATTCAAACTTCGTTTAGATTTCACGGAAGATTACCCCAACAAGCCCCCACGTGTTGTGTTTACCTCTAAAGTTTTTCACCCAAACGTATATACTGATGGTAGCATATGTCTGGACATCCTTTCGAGTGCTTGGAGTCCTACCTATGATGTACTATCTATACTGACATCTATCAGTCCTTTCTGGATGAGCCAAACCCCAATTCACCAGCTAACAGCATGGCAGCTCAACTTTACTTAGAGAACAGACGAGAATATGAAAAACGTGTCCGTGCATGCATTGAGGAAAATTGGTTTGAGGATGTATGAAAATCGACACAACCACTAATGGTAGTCACAGTAATCTGTTTTTGTACATGAGTGTTTTTTTGTACAATTCTTCAAACGCATTTAGTTGTTGTTCCGCGTCGTTCGCATATTTTCATTTCTTCTGCTTGGATGCGCCTTCAGAAACTTATCATTTCACTTAAGTATAACTTTATTGCCTGTGATTTACAGACTCATAGCTGCTTGTTTAAAAGTCAAGTCAATAAAACTTATACAGTCGTGTCCTTTTTTTCCGAGCAAGTGTCTGTTTTCTATCGCTACAAGCCTATTCAAACACAGTTGATTATTTTAATGTATTGCTAAGCCTTGTTTTATCTCGTTCGCATACGACTTTTGCCATCCACTCAGTACACTTCAACTCAGTGGCTACTTAGTGTCATGTACTTGAAGACTGTATATGGAGTAGTGCGTCCCTGCGGACCTTAGGCGACTACCAAAGTACAAAGTGAGGTCGTTGCTTTCTGATTCCAAGTGCTTGGTTTAAGTCAGCAGGAGATATCGTTTTAGCTATGTTTTGTTAGCTATCTCAGTTTCCAACTGCCTGCTTTGTCCCAAGTTTATGCACTTGCAGTGGAGATACGTGACTGGAAAGTATTGAATTACGTGGACTGTGATATGAACATATGATGACTTTCAAGTGTACTCCTGTCGCCTCAAAATTTCTATTATGAACTGTAGAACTGCTTGGAGGCTCTCGACGATTTCACAGGGTTCATATTAGACGAAGTTCTCAAGGTTTGGAAGTAGCATACTCAGAGGTTAAATAATAGATTAGTTCATTTAATTTGGCCAATAGTCTATCACTGTACATACATGCCTCTGGTACTTGCTTTTCTGGCTCTGCTGCTCTTCCTCGTTTCAGATTGCTTACAGCTCCTTGACTTTGTAAATGTGGTCCTATCTCAATGTCGTATTCAGTATCCGATTGGATAAAAGGCAACAGGATAGTAGCTGAAGGACAGTTAAACTGTTCCTTAAAGTATTCCACCCATCGTTTCAGTAATCTCTGCACGTGAGCCGCATGTCCATTCTTCGCTTAGCTGCTTGTTTTTACCTATTGCCGCCACCTTTTACATCGCTTCAGCCTTCACTGCCCACCACTGTTCCTGGTCATCGCGTAGGCTTTTTGTCAGTCTACATTTGAGTTGCTTCTGCTTCTCATCGTTTTCGGAGCCTGCAGGGATGCATTAGCATGCATCCACTAATTCCGAAGACGCTGATGAGATCCACTGGTTCTTTTTTGACTACTCTTGGGAATTGGTTACGGTCTTAATAGCAGACTGAAGATGTCTCCAGGCTTCTTCTGGATGTTATGTTCTGTTCCAATAACCGTCTAGCTTGCTTCCCACTGAATCCAGCTTTAGTGCTCTCATTGTTGAGCTGCACTCAGTGGTATTCTTGCTATACTTTTTTTGCGTCCGTTTGAACACCGATGTGCACGCGCTCCAAACAACTCGTGCTCAAGAAAGAACGACAATCTTCCAGTGATATCTGATGGTAATGTGGTCTACCTGCGTCAACCACAGAGTTAAGATCAATGGATGTCATGTCAGACATCTCTCTTTATCTCTGAAGTTTGTGTAGACCATAAATAAATGGATATCTGAGCATAGTTGTAGTAAGTAATCACCGTTATCTGTTCGTTCAGCTGGGATTATGAAGGTGCCAACTACGTGCTTTTCTGCCTGACTTGGCCTACCCATTTGTGCGTTGAAATACCTGCTGCAACAATCGTGTCTGAACGCTTAGTTTTCAGCAGGAGACTAAAGTTTTCGGTTGGACTTATCTTGGCTTCATCCAAACTGCAGTTACTGGGTTAGTGAGCAGAGAGTACTAAGAGATAACGGTGTTTCAGTACTCCTTTTAGTCTTTACTGCACTGTTCAGTCGAACAGCGAATAGGCAACTGGGATCCATTCCAGCAGTTCACTTTCTACCTTAGTACTATACCTACACCTGCAAGAACTAGCCGTTGAATATGCAGACTCGAAAGGTGAATCTTGCGGATTCACCAAATTGGCCGGGTGAGGTTAGGTGAATAACCGCATTTGGGCCTGTATGCGTGTCTCACGAACACAGCATACATCCGTGACCCGATCTTTCAGAGTTTTGACTGGAGAAGCTTGTTAGCCGGTCTAACAGAGTGCGAACACTGAGAGCTTCAATGTGTATTTTAGAGTGTGTTTTCAAGTAGTCAGGAATGCTGTTCCGTGAACACATCGCTATCGAAATCTTCAGAGCTGGAAGAAGTTAAAGATGAAGTAGATATGTTGACCGAGAAACGCGAACAAAGATTAAGAGGTAGGGACATGGGAGGTGGACGGTGATTTAGGAGAGCTTGAGTGCTGACTGAGTTTTGTGGGCGGTTGACATTCTCGGCCATCCACACAATGTGGTGATTGAATATGTTACTGTGTGAGACCTTTAATTTGTTTTAAAACTGGAATATTTCATCTTCGTTCATACGTATAGGATTTCTTTCATTTGACAGTTCGTTTAAAGTTAATTGGTTTAGGCCTTCAAGTTATGCATCCCGGTTTCAAATTTCTCTCTACCTGATTTGTTTGCGTATTATAAACTTAAAATTCCGGATTGTAGTTTAGTGCACAAAGATTTTCTAGGTTGAGTCGCATCATCATTACCTATATGCGTTGAACGTTGAGGTATTTCACTACTGTGTATTGCATTTGTGACAAACAATGGCTCTTCATAGACTCCAGTGTAGTCTATATCTATGATTTCACCGCAGTCCAGTTTTGTGGAGTAATTTAGTCGTATATTAGATAGCACCACCCGAATTCTACGGGTTTAAGGCAATTGCTTGGTATATCTCACAAGATTACGTGTAGGTCGGTCATTTAAGCGACGTTTGTGTAGGGAATAAATGAAGTAGTGGGCATAGATTAACTTGTAGGGATTCTGACTCTGTATTAGGTGTCATGCGGTTTTTAGAATTAAAGTTTGTTGGTGTTTTGGACTCCTAGTAGTATGGGGACTGAGAAAGTAAAGTTGGTCGGTCGTTATTACCTAACCATTCGGCCACGTAGCAATTCTTAGGCAAATCGATAAACGTTTTAGCGCAACACTTCCTGATTTCTATAAATACATTTTCAAAGGCCCTTTGATAAGCAAAGCTCGGTAAATATGAAAGAAATGAGGACTTTCACACCACCGGAAGTTGTCTCTATTTACGCTCCAAAATACTGGTAGCTAGTAAAACCTGTAAACTTAAAAACAGTTACAATACTGTACGCTCAAATAAGTCGTCGCAATGCATCTCTCCAATTGGTTTGTTTCTGGGTGTCCTTATGGTATCCAAAACTTTGTTCTGACAAACAGAAGAACCTGGCTCCATTTTAGGTTGTTCATTCGATATAACACATAGTGGTACAATATAATTTACTCTATGACGTTTTGAGCAGAATTTATTGCTCATATCCGTATCAAAGTAATCATACGACTTCCAAACTTCCTTTATATAGTCTTACGACTCTTCATTCTTATGCCTTAATAGTAGTAAAATCCTCCAGATATCTTGTTAAGTGGTGAAGAGACTGAACACAGAATCTTTGTTCGTTGAGTCAGCACCCAACACATGTAACACGAATGATTCTTCACATATTGCAGATACCTGGAAAATTTTAACATCACTAAGCTAAAAGAATGAAGAGCCGTTGGACTGTATGAAAGGAAGTTTAGAAGCCGTATGATTACTTTGATATGAATATGAGCAGTAAATTCTACTGGAAACGTCATCCAGCAGATCATACTGTATCACTGTGTGCTATATCAAATAAACAATCTAATATGAAACTATATTCTATCTCACTGCCCAAGTTTTCCTGTTACATCAAGGGAAATCGGCACTTGTGATACCCGTTATTCCATTGACACAAAGTAGTTCTCTTTTCCTCTGAGATTGGTTGGTTTATTGGCTTTGTGGTCGCATATTGAATGTTTACCAGGTCAGTGGAATTGATCCCCCGATAAGTTCTGGATAATCACTATTGCCTGTTGCAAGAAAGTTGACTATCATGAGTTAGTAGTCCGGTAAGTAAGGTTGTGGCGTTCGTAGCCGTGAATTCTTAGTTTGAGTCTCATTTGGTATACCTACGCTGTTACAAATGGATCCAGCTGAAGCGTCTTAAGTATGCTGAAGCTCACATATTGAATTTCATTGCTAGCCACTACCAGACAAAATACATTACAACAAAGGCCCTTAGCACTATTTAAGCTTCTGTTCGATTGGTAAATGTGCTAACAGGTATGTGGTTCGGTTTCAGGGGGGATTTATAAATTTCATTCTCGAATTGGCTGTGCGGTCAAAGGGAATGTTGACCAACAGGAATTAGTGAACATATAGATTACCTACCATTTTATAGACATAATAAAGCACATGTGTACCCATATCATTGAGTGTAGCGCAACAGCTGTCTCATTTTCACCCAACCTTTTCTTAGAATGGGGTCGTTTCATGACAGTTGGTTGGTCATATCTTTTGAGTTCTAGGATAACGGATCCCAAAGCAATTATGATGCGAAGATTCTGTTAGAAATGTTGACTACCCAGAACTATAGTTTGAAGGGACAAGTAGGTGTCTTAACGTTGATATTTCCTAAATAAGAGTTCCTCCGTTTGTAAAATGACTTGAATAGTGCCTACTTGGACGTCTTCAAAACAATTTAGTCTGTCAAAAGTAACTGGTGATGCTGAAGAGCATGGGTCTAGGATTCACCCGCAGGGGAAATAATGGGCGCAACACTCCGAAGAACAGTGCATCTGACCTCCAGATAATCTTCACTTTCCCGCTGTCCAGTTAGATCCTGAATGGAACACCAAGGAAACTAAAAATTCAGTAACTCGAAAAGAGGAATGGTAGTTTGACTTATACCAGAGGTATTTAAAGACGTGATCA